GAGTTCCTGTCCGGAGATATGAAGTGAGGGTGGATGTAGATGGTTTCTCTCATTTTATAAGAATCCATGACGTTGGGCAGAATGCAGAAGTAAGCTTTTCCTTGTGGTTTTGTATGTCAGAACCTAAAAAGACGTAAAGGTTGCTGTTCTTGTTCAATTTCTCCCTTGTTCTTCACCTTGTTGTGATGTATTTCAGGGAGGTGTAGCTTTGTTTCTTCATGGGTTTCTTGGAACTGGTGAAGAATGGATCCCCATCATGAAGGGTATCTCGGGATCCGCGAGATGCATTTCAGTTGATATTCTTGGCCACGGAAACTCAAGGGTACAAAGTCATGCTAGTGAGACCCAGAAGGTGCCGACTTTCTCAATGGAGATGATAGCGAAGACGCTGTATAAGTTGATTGAGCAAATCACTCCTGGGAAAGTTACCATAGTTGGGTATTCCATGGGAGCAAGAATAGCACTGTACATGGCGTTGAGGTTTAGCAACAAGGTGGGTTCCCTTTGTCTGAAAATTCAACATTGTTTAATCATGTGGATAATGGAATTTGGATGCTGTTCTATAGATCGAAGGAGCTGTTGTTGTATCGGGGAGCCCCGGACTCAAGGATCCAATGGCAAGGAAAGTTCGAAGTGCAACAGATGATTGTAAAGCACAATTGCTGGTTGACCATGGACTAGAAATCTTTTTGGAGAACTGGTACAATGGAGGCTTGTGGAAAAGGTGACTTTCTTAATACAGCAGTGTGACTTTGTGTAATTTTATGACTTTGTTATCTGGACTTGAATTTCATACTCTTATGAGTGAGTTTTTCAATGACTAGTTTCAGAAGGCATCCTCATTTTAGAAAAATAGTTGCAAGCCGCTTGCTACATGATGATGTCCTTAGTGTTGCAAAGCTCCTCTCGGATCTAAGCATTGGGAGACAACCGTAAGTTCATCTTGCAACCTTTTTTTCTTCCATGGATTTGATTCACGAGCAATGATTTTTGATGGTGATGATGATGATGATGTTATGTTCTTTGAAAAATAGGTCATTATGGGAAGAGCTGGAGGATTGTGATACAAATATTTCGCTTGTCTTCGGAGAGAAAGATGTCAAATTCAAGCAGATTGCTACTAGAATGTACCACAAGATGAGTAAAAGCAAGAAGAGCGAAAACAACATCATTGAGATGGTTGAAATCCCAGAAGCTGGTCACGCTGTCCATCTCGAAAGTCCTCTGCGAGTGATCCTCGCTCTTAGAAAATTCTTAACAAGAATGCGCAAAAACTCTGCAGAGACGGAGCTTTCTCGGAACCTCTTGTTAGCAGTGAAAGAAACATAGCAAGCTGCTGGAAAACCTGAGAAACTTTTTGGAACTTGAACACATTGTTTGAACATAATTGGACCTGTCTCAGGGCTTTTTAGTACTTAAATTGTATCAAATGCCAATTGTATTGAGGGGGGTTTAGATACATGTTATCAAATGGGAGTAAGCAATTGATTTGAATGTGTTTAGTTCCTCTCTGTCTTATAAATATAAATACAGACAGAAACAGTGTCCACGATTACAGACACATACACAGGTTCTTTTTTTAGACTTGTATTCCGGAGGACAGTACTTCTTGCAGTCATTGTCATGTTCGCAAACACCAGTGGACTCCATTATAGGTGCTACCTGCGGCAAGCAGTTACAGTTCTTGTTTCCTTCGAGACATTCGCTGCCTAGGCAACTCCGCCATCTCTCTTGCATCACCCAAAAACGAACCTTCACACATACAACACCACAAACTATAGTACAAAACCAAACCTAACAAATTATATAACAAAGATAGAAGCTTACAAAATGCTATGACTGTGAGGGAGAACAAGATGACATGCTTGAGAGACGTTTTCTCTATTGCTAATTGTAAATCTCAAGATTTTTCTTGTTTATTTTGATTGTGCTACGTGATGAAGAGTAGTAAGGGTTGTCTCCTTTATATAGAAGGAAGTTAACAAATATTTTGATGGAAGGTTTTACCAAGTTGAGTCGGATATTATTTGATTACATATTAATTAGTCCAACGTTGACCAAATCTTATATATAAAAATTGCTCAACTTTCTCCATATGAGTGACACATCAGCATTTGAGAATTGATATGGGAATGACATGTGTCATTTTTTAATTTAAAATTATAGTTTTTAAAGAAAATTAATTAATAAATTTTAATATGAAATGTTAAACCACTCAAAGAAATGAAAAGTCTTTTTATTAATTGATTCTTAAATAACATTTATGTAAATATTAAACAAAAATTTATGTTATAATTAATTAAAAATTAATATTTTTAATAACTTTTTGTTTTTAATAATATTATATTTTAAATTAATTGATTTATAATAATATACTAACAAATAACAAATGATGATCATACTTAAAAAAAATACAAAATATATAAATTTGAAATAGTTGAAGAAAAAACTTATTTAAAATTACAGTTTTAAAAAGGAAAATTAATTAATAAATTTTAATATTAAATTTTAAACCACTCAAAAATAAGAAAAAAATCTATTAATTGATTTTTAAATAACATTTATGTAAATATTAAACATGAATTTATGTTATCAACTCTTGATTTTTAATGATATTACATTTTAAATTGATTGATTTATAATAATATACTAACACATAATAAATAATGATTATATTTTTTCAAGAAAATACAAAATATATAAATTTGAAATAGTTGATGAAAAAAATCTACACGTTACGTGCGGGTATTCACCTAGTATATATAAAAAAGTTAGTCCAACTTGAGATCTCTCTTTTTTCAGGAAATCAGTTTATAACAATTCAAGAGATTTACAGTAAAGACAAATTAAAGCTCATACAATCTCAGAGAAAAAATTCTAGATGAGAATTCAAAAGATAGCGAATGAAGATTCAAGGCTCAATGATCCAATATGACAAGTTCTAAAGCTTCAAATTGGAGCGTATTTAAAACTGTTGATCAACCATTAGGTAATTAATAATAATACAAAAAGAGAGAGAGAGTGAGAGAGATATTGACACATAAACTGAAACAAAACATTTGTTGGGCGGGAAGCAAAAACAAGCTATTGTTCGTAAAAGACAGATTAAGCAATGCGAGTTTTTTTGTGTGTGTCAAAACAAAATAGGAAAAGTAAGTCAAATCTTTTTTTCTATTGTAGTTTTCTAGGGTTTTCAGAAGCTAGGTTTGCTTCATATCTCTTTGTCTCTCGTATAATATATAATCAATAATGTTATGTATATGCATATATATCTACAACATGTATAAACCTAGCTATGAAAATTATGTCATGTTTTATATATTACGCTTATATCTACTTTTCATAAATTATTCAATAGTATTACCAAAATGAAGGTATTTGGTTAAGTAAAATGTGACGAATCATCAAAATATTTGAACAATATAATGCATGACAAAAAAATTGTTTAACTATATAATAGGAGAAAAAACAAGCTATTGGTTCTAAAAGAAAGAAACAACGTGAGTTTTTTTGTCAAAAGAAAAGATGAGGAAAAGCAAAATGTTAGATCAAGCCTATTAAATAATAAGATTTGTAGAAGGAAGAGAAAAATAAGAAGAGAGTGAGGTTAGAGTGTTCTGGATAATTTTCTTCATTAGATAAGGAACCCTAAAATGGGAATGTAGCCTTAAATACACACTCATAAGTATTCTTGAAATTAAACCACATAGTATTGAGAATAATTTAGTGTATTAAATCATCATTCTTACGTAAAACCATTGTTCGACACTTAAGCCACTTTCAACCACCTTCTGCTCTCTCCCGACTCCTCTACTCTTAATTCTCTTCTTCCTTCACATAAAAGCCATTGGAACTCGGAGTCTATCACAAAACTTATAAGTGAGCTAAAGGAGAATATTCCGGTCATGACTCATGAGAAACAAATTGTTAGCATTCAAAGAAGTTCAAGATGATGGTGCTAAAGAGGATGGAGGAGCGTTCTGCAGCCAACAAAGACTGTCATATTCTAGACGGCGTACATACATAAGACTTCAAAATGAGTTGGTTGATCTTAGCTCCAAAGACGAAGAGCTTCAACGCCTTGATGGTTTTTGCTCTAGAATCTAAGGAGCTACGTTTATAGTATAAGTCTTCCCAAATTGATAGAGATCAAAACTGTAACATCTCGATTTCTAAAGCTCCTGAGGTAAAGATTCCAAAAAAGCGTTGCCTCTACTCGCATTTTAAGGGGTTTTAGATGGTAAAAATCTCGGTGACTTTTTTCAGGGCCGGCCTTGGACTAAAGTCCATGAAGCAAGGGCTTTAAGGCAGCCCATATAACAACAGTTTTAGGGGTAGCAAAAAAAACCCAATTTTTTTTTTAACAGTATGTATGAAACTTTGTCCCACATCGATGAAGTCAAAAAAATAGGAAGAAAAAATTGCTTATAAATAAGAGTCATCATCCACTCTTTATTTTTATAGAAATTGTGGGCTTGTTATTGAGCTCAATTTTCATTCCTCGCTATGGTCATGTTATATGGCTTTAGCTGACAGCACACTTCTCATATTCGGTGGGACAAAAGGTAAGAATATTTGTCCAACCGAATATAAGAAGCGTGCTGTCAGCTAAAGCCATATAACATAGCCATAGCAAGGAATGAAAATTCTCTCTGATACATGGGTATTGCATGCGGCTAAGAAACCAAATTTTTGAGAAAGATTGACCCCATGTAGCAGTCGGCCAAGGGAGGTAATGTTAGTAATTTGGTTGATCTAAGTGATGATTTGAAATTTACCTCCCAAAAGAATGATATCTGATGCCACAAGAAAACATGTTTTGGAACATGTTTCAGGCCTCCAATACTTAATTGTATATAATAATTCCAACTATTTTGAGTGATGCATAGATATTATTTTCAAGGAGAATAATAAATTGATTTAAACAATTTTCTATATCTATTTGAAATCTCTTGTTCCTCTCTGTCTTATAAGTAGATATTATGGTGGTCTCCAATTTTTTAACACTCACAGAAACAGGTTCCAAAATTACAGTTAACAATCTTGCAGCCCTTAGGACAGTACTGGCTGCAGTCGTTGTCTCTACGGCAAGACGCATTAGTCTCACTAGTGTCCATTATAGGTGCTACTTGCGGCAAGCAATTACCACCGAGGCAATTCACTTCTTTCACCATCTCTCTCGCATCACCGAAAGATGAACCTTTGCAAAAAACACACAACAAAAACATCCAAAAAAACTATATAATAAAGAAGAAGTCATCATAGAAGAAGCATACAAAATAATATGATTGTGAGGGAGAACAAGAAGACAAGCTGGAGAGACGTTTTTTCTATTTCTAATTTGTAACCTCAAAATCTTTTTCTTGTTTATTTTGTTGTGTAAGTGATGAGGACAAGAGAAATGGATTGCCTTCTTCTTTTATATATAGAAGAAAGTTAAACGGAAACAAATCTTTTGTTTGAAGGTATTACCAAGTTTAGTCAGATACTATTTGATTACACATTGTGCGTTACTACTCCAGCTTGAAATCTCTCAATTTTAGGAAAACTTCATTAGTGGCAGATTTGTTTCTGTAGAGGGAAATAAACCAACAGTGGAGATACATTGCTTGAAATGAATACAAGTCATAATGAGTATTTACAACACAATATACAAATGACTAATGCTATTGCCAAGAGAGAGATAAACATATCTTCAAATTGAACCATATTTTTCTTTAACAACAGCCATAGCAAAGAATGAAAGACACAGCGCAAAAGCTGCGGCCAAAACTGGTATCCATCTCAAGTTGCTTGCAAAGATGAACTTACGGTTGTCTCCCACTGCTTAGATCTGAGAGGAGCTTTGCAACACTAAGGACATCATCATGTAGCAAGCGGCTTGAAACTATTTTACTAAAATGAGGATGCCTTCTCAAACTACTCATTGCAAAACTCACTCATATGAGTATGAAATTCAAGTCCAGATAATAAAGTCATAAAATTACACAAAGTCACACTGAATTTGCGCAGACTGAGCTTTCTCGGAAGCTCTTGTTAGCACTGAAAGAAACATAGCAAGCTGCTGGAATTCTGAGAAACGTTTTGGAACTTGAACAGATTGTTTGAACATGATTGGATCTGTCTCAGGGCCTTTTAGTACTTAAATTCTCTCAAATTCCAATTGTATTGAGCGGGTGCGGGGACATGTTATCAAAGGGGTGTAAGAAATTGATTTGAATGTGTCTATTGTTTGTTCCTCTCTATCTTATAGTATAAATTACAGTGGTTTTTTGGAACTCCTAACACTGACAGAAACAGTGTCCACCATTACAGGCACAGACACAGGTTCTTTTTTTATACTTGCATTCTGGAGGACAATACTTCTTGCAGTCATGGTCATGTTCACAAACGCCAGTGGAATCCACTATAGATGCTACCTGCGGCAAGCAGTTACAGTTCTTGTTTCCTTCGAGACATTCGCTGCCTAGGCAACTCCGCCATCTCTCTTGCATCACCCAAAAACGAACCTTCACACATACAACACCACAAACTATAGTACAAAACCAAACCTAACAAATTATATAACAAAGATAGAAGCTTACAAAATGCTATGACTGTGAGGGAGAACAAGATGACAAGCTTGAGAGACGTTTTCTCTATTGCTAATTGTAAATCTCAAGATTTTTCTTGTTTATTTTGATTGTGCTAAGTGATGAAGAGTAGTAAGGATTGTCTCCTTTATATAGAAGGAAGTTAACAAATATTTTGATGGAAGGTTTTACCAAGTTGAGTCGGATACTATTTGATTACATATTAATTAGTCCAACGTTGACCAAATCTTATATATAAAAATTGCTCAACTTTCTCCATATGAGTGACACATCAGCATTTGAGAATTGATATGGGAATGACATGTGTCATTTTTTAATTGAAAATTATAGTTTTTAAAGAAAATTAATTAATAAATTTTAATATGAAGTGTTAAACCACTCAAAGAAATGAAAAGTCTTTTTATTAATTGATTCTTAAATAACGTTTATGTAAATATTAAACAAAAATTTATGTTATAATTAATTAAAAATTAATATTCTTAATAACTTTTTGTTTTTAATAATATTATATTTTAAATTAATTGATTTATAATAATATACTAACAAATAACAAATGATGATCATACTTAAATAAAATACAAAATATAAAAATTTGAAATAGTTGAAGAAAATCCTTATTTAAAATTACAGTTTTAAAAAGGAAAATTAATTAATAAATTTTAATATTAAATTTTAAACCACTCAAAAATAAGAAAAAAATCTATTAATTGATTTTTAAATAACATTTATGTAAATATTAAACATGAATTTATGTTATAAACTCTTGATTTTTAATGATATTACATTTTAAATTGATTGATTTATAATAATATACTAACACATAATAAATAATGATTATATTTTTTCAAGAAAATACAAAATATATAAATTTGAAATAGTTGATGAAAAAAATCTGCACGTTACGTGCGGGTATTCACCTAGTATATATAAAAAAGTTAGTCCAACTTGAGATCTCTTTTTTTTTCAGGAAATCAGTTTATAACAATTCAAGAGATTTACAGTAAAGACAAATTAAAGCTCATACAATCTCAGAGAAAAAAATCCTAGATGAGAATTCAAAAGATAGCGAATGAAGATTCAAAGCTCAATGATCCAATATGACAAGTTCTAAAGCTTCAAATTGGAGCGTATTTAAAACTGTTGATCAACCATTAGGTAATTAATAATAATACAAAAAGAGAGAGAGAGAGAGATATTGACACATAAACTGAAACAAAACATTTGTTGGGCGGGAAGCAAAAACAAGCTATTGTTCGTAAAAGACAGATTAAGCAATGCGAGTTTTTTTTTGTGCGTCAAAACAAAATAGGAAAAGTAAGTCAAATCTTTTTTTCTATTGTATAGTTTTCTAAGGTTTTCAGCTAGGTTTGCTTCATATCTCTTTGTCTCTCGTATAATATATAATGAATAATGTTATGTATATGCATATATATCTACAACATGTATAAACCTAGCTATGAAAATTATGTCATGTTTTATATATTACGCTTATATCTACTTTTCATAAATTATTCAATAGTATTACCAAAATGAAGGTATTTGGTTAAGTAAAATGTGACGAATCATCAAAATATTTGAACAATATAATGCATGACAAAAAAATTGTTTAACTATATAATAGGAGAAAAAACAAGCTATTGGTTCTAAAAGAAAGAAACAACGTGAGTTTTTTTGTCAAAAGAAAAGATGAGGAAAAGCAAAATGTTAGATCAAGCCTATTAAATAATAAGATTTGTAGAGGGAAGAGAAAAATAAGAAGAGAGTGAGGTTAGAGTGTTCTGGATAATTTTCTTCATTAGATAAGGAACCCTAAAATGGGAATGTAGCCTTAAATACACACTCATAAGTATTCTTGAAATTAAACCACATAGTATTGAGAATAATTTAGTGTATTAAATCATCATTCTTACGTAAAACCCTTGTTCGACACTTAAGCCACTTTCAACCACCTTCTGCTCTCTCCCGACTCCTCTACTCTTAATTCTCTTCTTCCTTCACATAAAAGCCATTGGAACTCGGAGTCTATCACAAAACTTATAAGTGAGCTAAATGAGAATATTCCGGTCATGACTCATGAGAAACAAATTGTTAGCATTCAAAGAAGTTCAAGATGATGGTGCTAAAGAGGATGGAGGAGCGTTCTGCAGCCAACAAAGACTTAGTCATATTCTAGACGGCGTACACATAAGACTTCAAAATGAGTTGGTTGATCTTAGCTCCAAAGACGAAGAGCTTCAACGTCTTGATGGTTTTTGCTCTAGAATCTAAGGAGCTACGTTTATAGTATAAGTCTTCCCAAATTGATAGAGATCAAAACTGTAACATCTCGATTTCTAAAGCTCCTGAGGTAAAGATTCCAAAAAAGCGTTGCCTCTACTCGCATTTTAAGGGGTTTTAGATGGTAAAAATCTCGGTGACTTTTTTCAGGGCCGGCCTTGGACTAAAGTCCATGAAGCAAGGGCTTTAAGGCAGCCCATATAACAACATTTTTAGGGGTAGCAAAAAACACCCAATTTTTTTTTTTAACAGTATGTATGAAACTTTGTCCCACATCGATGAAGTCAAAAAAATAGAAAGAAAAAATTGCTTATAAATAAGAGTCATCATCCACTCTTTATTTTTATAGAAATTGTGGGCTTGTTATTGAGCTCAATTTTCATTCCTCGCTATGGTCATGTTATATGGCTTTAGCTGACAGCACACTTCTCATATTCGGTGGGACAAAAGGTAAGAATATTTGTCCAACCAAATATAAGAAGCGTGCTGTCAGCTAAAGCCATATAACATAGCCATAGCGAGGAATGAAAATTCTCTCTGATACATGGGTATTGCATGCGGCTAAGAAACCAAATTTTTGAGAAAGATTGACCCCATGTAGCAGTCGGCCAAGGGAGGTAATGTTAGTAATTTGGTTGATCTAAGTGATGATTTGAAATTTACCTCCCAAAAGAATGATATCTGATGCCACAAGAAAACATGTTTTGGAACATGTTTCAGGCCTCCAATACTTAATTGTATATAATAATTCCAACTATTTTGAGTGATGCATAGATATTATTTTCAAGGAGAATAGTAAATTGATTTAAACAATTTTCTATATCTATTTGAAATCTCTTGTTCCTCTCTGTCTTATAAGTAGATATTATGGTGGTCTCCAATTTTTTAACACTCACAGAAACAGGTTCCAAAATTACAGTTAACAATCTTGCAGCCCTTAGAACAGTACTGGCTGCAGTCGTTGTCTCTACGGCAAGACGCATTAGTCTCACTAGTGTCCATTATAGGTGCTACTTGCGGCAAGCAATTACCACCGAGGCAATTCACTTCTTTCACCATCTCTCTCGCATCACCGAAAGATGAACCTTTGCAAAAAACACACAACAAAAACATCCAAAAAAACTATATAATAAAGAAGAAGTCATCATAGAAGAAGCATACAAAATAATATGATTGTGAGGGAGAACAAGAAGACAAGCTGGAGAGACGTTTTCTCCATTTCTAATTTGTAACCTCAAAATCTTATTCTTGTTTATTTTGCTGTGTAAGTGATGAGGACAAGAGAAATGGATTGCCTTCTTCTTTTATATATAGAAGAAAGTTAAACGGAAACAAATCTTTTGTTTGAAGGTATTACCAAGTTTAGTCAGATACTATTTGATTACACATTGTGCGTTACTACTCCAGCTTGAAATCTCTCAATTTTAGGGAAACTTCATTAGTGGCAGATTTGTTTCTGTAGAGGGAAATAAACCAACAGTGGAGATACATTGCTTGAAATGAATACAAGTCATAATGAGTATTTACAACACAATATACAAATGGCTAATGCTATTGCCAAGAGAGAGATAAACATATCTTCAAATTGAACCATATTTTTCTTTAACAACAGCCATAGCAAAGAATGAAAGACACAGCGCAAAAGCTGCGGCCAAAACTGGTATCCATCTCAAGTTGCTTGCAAAGATGAACTTACGGTTGTCTCCCACTGCTTAGATCTGAGAGGAGCTTTGCAACACTAAGGACATCATCATGTAGCAAGCGGCTTGAAACTATTTTACTAAAATGAGGATGCCTTCTCAAACTACTCATTGCAAAACTCACTCATATGAGTATGAAATTCAAGTCCAGATAATAAAGTCATAAAATTACACAAAGTCACACTGAATTTGCGCAGACTGAGCTTTCTCGAAGCTCTTGTTAGCACTGAAAGAAACATAGCAAGCTGCTGGAATTCTGAGAAACGTTTTGGAACTTGAACAGATTGTTTGAACATGATTGGATCTGTCTCAGGGCCTTTTAGTACTTAAATTCTCTCAAATTCCAATTGTATTGAGCGGGTGCGGGGACATGTTATCAAAGGGGTGTAAGAAATTGATTTGAATGTGTCTATTGATTGTTCCTCTCTATCTTATAAGTATAAATTACAGTGGTTTTTTGGAACTCCTAACACTGACAGAAACAGTGTCCACCATTACAGGCACAGACACAGGTTCTTTTTTTATACTTGCATTCTGGAGGACAATACTTCTTGCAGTCATGGTCATGTTCACAAACGCCAGTGGACTCCACTATAGATGCTACCTGCGGCAAGCAGTTACAGTTCTTGTTTCCTTCGAGACATTCGCTGCCTAGGCAACTCCGCCATCTCTCTTGCATCACCCAAAAACGAACCTTCACACATACAACACCACAAACTATAGTACAAAACCAAACCTAACAAATTATATAACAAAGATAGAAGCTTACAAAATGCTATGATTGTGAGGGAGAACAAGAAGACAAG